AAATCTGTCATACAACCGACACCAGCAGGATTTGGGCAGCTACACACCTAGGGATCTGGGACACACTCCTCTGGAAAATTCCAAAGGACTCTCAGCTATTCAGGGCAAACTCCAAATTTGATTAACGTAGAAAAGCAAGTTATACCAGAAAAAGGGTTCAGTGCACAGTTAATGTGAAATTTAACTTGAATCTTAAAATTCTGGGCACTCTTCTTGTACTCATGGCTTCTACAAAATGAGTGGAGGACACACGGTTAATATTTCTTCTTTCTCCTTTACAGTTAAAGAGTGCCAAAATGGTGCAATTCCAGGGTATCACAGTACTTGAAACTACAGGTACTCATTCCCCACTACCACCCGGAAAAGCAGCAGATATCCCTGGCACACACGCAGCAAGCTTAGCTGCAGATTCACCACTAAATCTGAGGCAAGAAACTCAAATGAACCAGCAGGGAGAATTTACCAAGTGTGAATCATCCAAAATGAAATCTTGCTAAGGCACCCAAGCAAGGACTAACATGCCTTATAAATATTTTATCGCAAAATTAAAATGAGAAGTCAGCCAACTCATTTTTTCCTCTTTTAAAATTCATATTAACCAAGAAATAAATTTCTGCAAAGTTGTTTGCCTTTCTACTGAGATGGCAGCAATGTTGGTCAAATCCAGCACACAGGGTAACAAGACAGTCCAAAGGCAGCTCAGCCAAAGTCTGTTCTCACCGGCCCAGATCTTCGAGATTTTGCTGCTCTTTTAGCAGGTATGCCAGCTGGACAGCCAACTGCTCCTTCTCCTCATGGATCTTCTCTCTTGCTGCCCTCTCAGCGTGGAAATCAGAACAATAAACCTCCATCTGATCAGAGAAATGAAATCATGCTGAGAATTTATAACTTAAGACTGAACGGTAACCATACCATATACACCAAGACAGCGATTCTGTATCACAGCCTGCATCTACTTAGAACACTCGCACACCACCTACACACTGCAAAGTGAAGACCTGCACTGAGTACAACATGAAGACGATTCAGTAGTTTCTGGATTCTGTGAAAGACACTTCCAGTGCCTTATCTGGGACAGTGCTATTGCCCTCTGCTGTACAGAGGCAGAAACGACGCACAGACAAGCAGTGAAGAGGTGACTTGACCGATGACACAGACAAATCTGTGGCACAGACAGTGGAACCGGGCCAAGACGCCAGTTCTCTGCCTTAAATGTGTGGCAGACTCTTTTTAGTCACTGTTTACACATACTGGTTTGAATAAATTCATCCCTAGAATATATGCAGTGATTCTTAAGACAGTAGTTTTAAATACACAAACACATCTATTCCCAGTTTTTGTTTGTTGTGCCAGACTCCAGCATACACAGTTCCTCCTACAGAACCATAGGATACGGTGGTAAAAGCTCTGTAGGGATCTGCAAGGCAGGCTCAGTAAGGGAATTATGCTTTGGAATTGAGGAAACATATTCAGTATTCCAGAGTGAGCCATTAAATACTTCCTTTTGGTTTCTGAGTATTGGGTGGGGGAACTAGACAATTTCTGAGGAAGAGCTGATACCTGAGTGCGGAGCACAGCCATGGTTTCAAGATCCTCCTCTTGCTTAGCAATTATTTGCTTCATTTCATCTATCTGGAGCTGCTTTGCAGCAAGGGCTTGTTCTGCCAACTCCACCTTTGCATTCAGTTGCTCCACCACAGCTTTATCCACTCTGTTCAGCTGCAAGGAAGAACTATGACTATGAGATGAACTCAGAACATGACCCGGCTTGAAGTGAAAGTTTGTTTCTTACTCCCCTCGCTCTTGGAAAAGCTTCCAATTTCGGTAATCAAAGGAACTTGGACTAAGACAGCAGCATTAATTTTGAGCTTTCAAGCTCCCTTCTAACAAGTCAAAAGAGAACTCGCTAGTGGACACTGCAAAGAATGTTTTCCCACTTTCCAAAATTATACTGACTAATCTGGCACTTCCATGGAGACTCAGTTATGGGCAGGACCTCACTGTGACAGGCATTCTATTTAAGGTTACAAAAACGTTTAGAGGTCTGTCTTCCCGTATTTACAAATTATGCTGCAGGAACACCTATATGCCTTTGCATATCACTGATCTCTAAGGACTGGACTCCATATTGAACTGCAGATTAGACCTTAGCTAGAAAACATCATGGAAGTACTGAGGTGGGGATAAAGTTTTCTATAATTGACAGCACAGGATCTATGTTTATCAGAGCAATGCTGTTATGGTACATGCTATATTATGTAGAAGGGATGATGGTAGTTTCCTGCCTGAATTTTTTCCTACATACACTCTCCCATCCCTTCCCGCTCCCCCCTAATTAATTATGATTTCTTCTTGTGATAAGTTTACCTCTTTGAGTTTCATTTCACTGATTGTTTTCATTGCCTCAGTGAGTTCAGGAAGAAGTTTGCTGTATGCATCCTGCAAGCTACTAAATCTTGCCCTGTTTATGACAAAACAAGAGGTGAAAGTTTGAAACACTTAAAAATTATTTGAAATCTAAATAATCTGTCAGAATTTAGAAAAAAAACACCAACCACCACCAGCTCCTTGCAAATGAATCTGCATTTCTGAGGACAAAAAAATCATGTTCAATGTCTCAACATATCTCTTCCCATGAGTTATGTACTGCACTATCCATGGACTGAGTCCAAACAAATGTCCTTACTGATGATCTGCATTTCAGACTGAAGAATCCATCACCCAGTATATCAAGCTCACAAATTCTGTTCAAAATGTAACACCTCTCTTAGGAAGACATCCAAGTCTTGACTCAGAGACTTCAAGTGAAAGAGAATTCATCAGGAGAAGAACCAGACACAGACTCCAAGGATAATAAGCAGGTTCTCCAGCAGCTGAAGACGGGTTCTTCAGGCAGTTCAGCCTCTCTGTACAGCTTGGACTGACACTTTCACACTCCTTACATGGACTGCACATGAAAAGGAGCGGGGAGCCAGAGCAAACAGTGAGTGTCTACTTCAGCTTCACTGCATACTCACCTCTCCTAGCTGGAAATGTATTGTAGGGACCGCAGACCTCTTCATTAATGTCACTTTCCCATCATGGTCCACCTGACTTGTGCCTGCCCTCCATGCTGTGGATGCATTCACCCCTGCTAGTCAGTGGGAGAGCTTTCGGCACTTTTCTGCTTCCTCTGCTTGTATATTATACCTGACCCTATTCCACCTTTGACTTTGTGACAAAAGGAAGATACAAGTCAGAGCCTACAGCTCAAATTTTCCTAAGTGAGAGGTTCACTAGACGAAAGGACACAGCTTGGACCTAACACGGAGACTCCAGATTCAAAGTGACATAGATGCTGAGGTGAATGCAGGTTTCTAGGTCAGACTCTACAAACATAACATGGTTTCAAAGGGTGCAGAACACAAAACTTCTATTCAGATCCAATTCCCCTTTGGCCAGGTTCCCTTGGACTTCCCTTCCTCACTGACAATACCTCCCTGGAATATAAACCCAAGTCATACTCACTTTTCTTCATGTGTCTTGGCTTGTTCCAGCCTGACCTCTGCCTGCATGCTCTCCACCTGAAGTTCCAGCTTCTTGATGGTGTATGTTAGCTGCTGCTTCTCCTCCAGTTCTGAGGCAGCAGCTGAGCTTTTTCTTTCCAGTACTTGGCACCTGACAAAGAAACAAGGTTGATCTCTCCCGTTCACTTTTTCCTGATGGATGTGGCACACTAGGCATAATACAAAAAGAATCTATGTGTGGTTCACTTCAAAGGCTTATTTTGATGAAGGACAAGGAAAGACAAAAATAAATCTATACACAGCCATCAGAAAACAAAGTTACTGAAACCAACGCTTGCTTTCTTACTATTATGAATCTCAAAGAACTGGAATTTGACAGAAAACTAAGCAATTAAAGTGAGGGTCTTGTAACCACTTTTTATGATCTACACAATTGTCTTCAAAAGCACAGACAGTTCATGTGAAAAGGGTCATAACCAGGTCCTTTAGCATCTTACCCTGAGACTAAAACAAGGGTTGATTATGTGAAGCAGAAAACAGGAAATATTTGCTTTTACTTCAGGAAGGGTTAAAATCCAAATCTTAAAATCCAAGGCATTTGGGTTCTATTTGTAGAACTAGGTCGGCAGCTCACATTTTCTGACAGTTACTGTATTTCTGTACTTTCATCTCCACTTACGAAGAAGTGATCTTTTACACCGTTTCTATGAAACATATTTAAGTTGATATTGGTAGAGCTGGTGAGTTTCCCAAGGTAGGAGTTATCATACAAATATATACTGGATGTCACGGCAGAACTTTTGTTCTTCTGAACCTTACTTTTCTTGAAGCTTCTTCTGAATCAATTCTGCTTCTTTTAACTTCTCATGGGTTTCCTGAAGCTCTCTAAACAGAGCACAAACTTGCTTATTCAGGGTTTCTACTTCACTGGTAACCTTTTAGAGAAAAAATAAGGAAAATTACTTATGGACAATTCAAGATAGGAAAGTTGCAGGCTAACAAAGAGCTCTAACCAGGAAGTATCATTCTTTCTCTAGAGAAAACAGCGTAAGTCAGTGTGCACCGTTACACTCTATACTCAAGGCCCCATCCACAAGGCTTCACAATACAAATTATTCCTAAATATAGCAGAACCCATTTTGACTTAAGTCTTTCGTAAAATCCAGGTGACTCAAAAGACAACACTATTACTTACTTTCCAATGTTGGCTAGAGTACAACTCATGCAGATGGGAGACACATGTACATTTAATTTCTCAGAGTTCACAATTTAAAACACACATGAGAAAAGCAGACAGACTTAGTGATTACTGCCACTCCCCCAGACAATAGTTATAGTCTGTCAAAGAAACAAACAAATGATTTATCCCTAGGTAGACTTCCAGTCTGCTAGCATCAGTGAGCTCCTTCAAAAGAGGTGTGACAGCAGATGTAGAACAGAAGCAGCAGTTTGGAAGTAGAGAAGGCAGACTAGAACCCTAAACTTTTTCTTCCCAGTTACATCCTGCACCAGTATTACCCCTTCCATTCTACCTTCCTCCATTCTTGTTTTGTGCAGCAAGCAGAGAACACAGAAGTTTTGATGCACTGTTATTTATTTCAGTTATCCATGAAACCCCTCCAGCAAAATGGCTCTCTCCCTACCTATACCAGCCTCTCTCACACCACATGCATGAGCACCACAGGACTGGAAGGCTTCAGCTCTTGACTTTTTGAAGAAGAAAATACCACCCCAGATGGTAACTCCATTACCATTCATTCATGAATCAACTTTGCAAACCAAGAAGAAAATTATTTCTAGTAAAATTGTAATCAGTTTTGTTGTGAGTCACTGGCCCTCTCATTTGGGCTTCAGACACAGGAAGATCACTGAAGGATCCTAAAGACAGGCAAAAAGTAGTAGTAGGAAAGAAACAGCAGCTGTGTTCTCCTCCAACCGAAGACATGAAGGACATATAAGAGTTTCAATTCTTAAAAAGTATCC